TGCGTTTCAAATCCGATAGTAATCGGCGCTTAATTTATTTAACTGAAAGATATATGTATAGTTTATAAAATAAATTATGTTATTTACATTAGGATCTCTAATCTAATTTCATTTATTAAAAACATTGGCGGGTGCAGAAATTTGTCAAAGAGAGAGCCCTTGGCGCAAAATTTTTTTTAATATCAAATATAAAAAAATAGAATATTATAAATTATTATTTAAATTATTACATTAAAAAATATTACTTAAATGTGTAATTCATAAAACGTTTTATTTAAAATTATATTAACATAAAAAATAATATAATAGAATTTATGTTTTTTATATCTAAGAACTTTTTAAATTAAAAAAATATTTTTGAAATATCAAAATTGTGATTAAGCATTTTAAAAATATATAACACTTTGCTATAAATATTTAAAAAAAAAGAAGATTGACTTCCCCCTTCCCGTGGATCGAATGTCAAGAACAAAATTATTTCTCTTTATTAATTAACAAGTAAAGAAAACGCTTTCTTTCAGAATATTTCTGTCCACTGAGCAGATTGACTTTCTAATCGTCCATTGGTTTGGCTTTATCTTCGATCTGTCCGTTGGATTTTGGATGTTGCTTGAGAAAACACGTATACCGTCCATGGTCTTCTGCACAATTTTTCATTTAATGAACTCAAGACTATTTAATATAGGTAATTATTATTTAAAACAAATAGTAATTATTATTTAAAATAAATAAATTTAAAGAAAGAAAAAGAAGTTTTGAACAAGAATTGATAAGAATATTCAAAGATTTTCTTTGTACTATTATTTATATGAGATTTAAGAAAAGATCTTTTCAGGAATGTTTCCGTATGTGTGCCTGGCAACGATGCCACTCTTTTGCTGTGTAGATTGGCCACGTAAATTAGGACTATACTTTAGACTGAAACAAAAGATTTTATCGATTAATGCAAATTCAATCGACGCAAATGGCGTAAAAGAGACTGATAGTCAAGCAGAAGAATCCATGAAGCCCAACTACTTAAAATTGTCTTCAAATGAAATTTTTTGTAATGAAACAATGCATGAAGGTAAATAATCTTTTTTTCACAATAATAATTCCTTACGAGCTTAAAATATTTACAACTATTTTCAGAAAAAGCAATGAACAAGGAAAAAAACGAAAAATATTTTGTTAAACCAAAATCTGAAAAGGAAACTGATGAAAAAGATAACGATACGCAATCGTCTAAGGATTCAATTAAACTTAATAAAAAAGGAGCGACCAATGTTTGTAAAAGAATTTGGATAGCTCAGAAATCGCCGAAAAATACGAGAAAACAAAAGTTTGTAGCATCGCTGTTGCTGTGTCATATTCTACTGCAGTTTTTTCTGCCGTACTCACATTTTATATCAAAGGTACCACCTATTAATATTAGCATGTTACCCTTATAGAAAATTTAGTGATTAATTACTTATTAAGCACTGAATAACAGTACTTTCAATGCTCAAAAGTAATTAATTACTTTTGAGCATAAGTAATTAATTACTATCTTTTAATATTAAATTACTTACACAAAAAGTAATTCTAAAATCTGCTAACATGTTTACTTTTGCAATTAAATTAATTCTGCAAAAATATTTGCAATAGATAAAATGTCTTTAATTACAAGATTTTCTAAATTTATATGAATTGTCGTATGATTATATTTTTATTACAAAAATGTAACTTCAGGGCTATAACAATTGGGTACCTGGTCTATATGGTTATTCCTGGGACATGATGGTTCATAGCTGGGACACTATACACGTAGTAATTAAAGTGCACGATAATGCGAACGATGAAATACGGTATTTAGATCCTGTCGCTTGGGTGCAAAACGATCGATGGATGAAGCACGGGGACATGACGATACAATATTCGCAATGCTTAAAGGTTTTAAAGTGCCATAAATAAATATCTACCTTAAAGTTCTCAATAATATTTCTGCCAATAATCATTTTTATGCCATTATATTTATTAAATATTGAATTTATTTATGTATAAATTCAGAATAATCTGATGCGTCGAAAAGAAGAATTGAGGTCCAATCATTATTCGGAAGATATGGAAAAATGGATGAAATTGTCTACGAATTTAAGCGTTTACATAGACGTGTGGTGTTCGCTAAACGGCAGATTTCAACAGAGAATATTTAATCCAAACATCGATATGTTGACAGTTGATTGGCATCCATTTAAGCCAGTTTCATTTCTAATGCCGTTACTCACGCAATATAGTTCATATCGGTATGTCTATTTCAGTCGCTGAATCAATTTATTATATAATGTAGTAGTATCGATATTCGCTAAAAAAATATGTCATCAAAAATATTATAAATTAATTACATTATGAAAAATAATTAGTAAAAATTATTAATTATTAATTATTAATTTTTACTATATAATTATTAATTATCACTAATTGGTAACTGTCTTAGTCAGCCAAGAGAGCTTAAGAAAAATTATTTAAAATTTATGGTTAACCCTCCAGTATTCGAGCGAGTATTGCAAAATTTGCAACGTTCACTTTAAAATTAACTTTGGGATAAATTCAGTGTAAATTCAGAATCTATACAAATTAATTATATTTAAAAATTAAAGATGGAAATATATATGTAGCTTTGAACATTGAAATATAGTACTTCTACCCGCCAGAAAGACCGTACACCACTAATGTAAATATCGATAGACTCTTCATTTACAAATAATTATTTAGTAAGCAAAAGCAATTTTTTAATTGCTTTTGATTACTAAAAAAATAAATATTTTTATGGCAAGTATCGTCCCTATAAATATTAAAGTTCAATTTAAAAACACACTTAGCCGCGTATTTATTTTTTTATTCTAAATATTCTGTTTTTCGTGATTTTCAGATATAAAATGGATGAAATTCAACAGCATGTATATACTTGGTCAAATTATACGGATGTATTGTTCGTGGCCGACTTTCCAGGGATGTATTTGGAAAACTACATATCCACCGATTTCACGAATGTTTCTTTGACGGTGCTAGAAGGCGAGGTAACTTACGGCGAAGAAGAATCGATGGATGTGATCACTGTGTCGAAGAAGAAATCGATCTCTGTTGGAACAGGGAAGTTTCATCGAATAAAAACTACGAGTTCTTATCCAGCATGTTATATGTATACTTATACCAATCAGACGAAGCAATTAGATAGCGAAAAGTAAGTATTATATAAATATGTCATAATAAGATATTGCTACATGAAAACGTATAAGTTTCTACTAAAATTTCGTGATTAGTTTTATAATATATATTGCGATAAGTTTTTGAACAGTATTTATAACGTATGGCTTATATTTTATAATAAAGGAAAATTAATTACTGAAATAAATAAAATTAATAAAACTTCTGTATACATATTAAGAAATAAGATTTTAAAATCAAATTAATACGTTTTGAAAATTTACACTTAATATATTTTTTAGAAGGAAGCCTCCTCCAGTAATAGAAAACATGCCACAACTGTTAAAAGAAATTAATTATAAAATCATTGCATGGATAAAAACATTCGTCCATATAATAAATGCCTTCTTAAACCTGATATATGATGTTCCTATAGTACGACGAGTACGTGTTAGCAAGTAACAAACCTTAATAATGATTGAAAAAAGATTAAAATTATCCCTTACACCTTGTCTTAATGCGCGCATCTCTTATTCCTATTTATAATTTTTCCAGAAAAATTTCTTTACCTTTTAAACGTAAATTAACTTATATTAACTAAATTTAACGAAAGTTTAAAAATTAGGAATTTAACAAATTCTTAATAAAAAATTTACAAATTATGTTTCTTTTAGTTTATAAGTATTATAAATATTTTTGAAAGTATTAGAACGTACCATAAAATATGATTTTAAACTGGTTGATATAAATTACTAATTTTCAATAATAAAAAAATTATTTATATAAGAATATACACAACTTTTTAAAATATAAATTATAACTCACAATATACGTACATTGTTATAATATAGGGAAATGTGAATATAGCAAAGATGTTATTTTTATTATTTTTATATATTATACAGAGGCCATGTGATAAAATATACGTATGCAGGATGTAACAGAGAGACCATATTAGGCTTATAAAAATTATATTTAAAAATTTTTTAATAGAAATCCCTATTTTTTAATTTCGAAGTGATTTTTACATAATTTCAACAACGCTCTCCAAAGTCAAACTAATATTCCTATCTAATGCGTCACTTAAAACGCTACAATTTTTATCTGGAACATTTTTCAAGAAAAAAGAGCCTGATACAGTTACTCTGTTACAATATCCTGTATATATTGTTACAAATTAATGTGATAATCTATTGTAATTTAAAATAGAATTGTTAGACTAATATTTTTTACCAATTTCAGTATCTGACTCAGCAACTTATAAATTCGTATACCTATTTTGTAATTGTGCTAAGTATGAAATGTACTAAATATGAATATTTTTAATAAATTATTCAAATTCTCTCATCTATTAATGTGTTCATAAAATTGTTTAAACCTTTAATGATCAAAATATATTTCAATAAATAATAGCGATTTGACAATTCTAATTAATAATATTTTAAATGTAATAAATAGAATTCGTTTTTAGCTAATTTTACATAGAAACAAGTTACAAATGTATACATTATGGATTTTCATTCTCTACTTATCTAAATACATCATGCTTTTATCATCAGTATTAATAAAATACAATGTCTTATTTTTAGTTTCCTAAAAATAAGATAGTGTTTCCTTAGGATACTTCAATATCGGCGACATTCCCCAATTGTTATTATTATGCAAGGATTAATACTAAATTTTAATATCAATAAATAAAACAGATCTATTTTCATAAGATAATACAAATTATTATTTTATTTTCAACACGCTATTCTTCCACAACACAATTTCCGAGGGATGTTTTGGAGACGTCCTCTGGAGAACTGTGCTGTGTGTTAATCAGTTACTATTAATCAGTTATTCTTTGCTCTGAGAGGATAGACACAAAGATATTTCTTGTAGTCTTCTACGTCAACAATGTGATGATCTTCAATTTCCTGCTACGTCGCTTATATATTCCAAAGTAAAGTGCTCTGTCTTGGGATTCTCAACTATAACAATTAACATTTTTAATTGTAATTGTCTCAGCAACTTTGACCAATTTGAACATAATTCAATAACAAAAAGTGGAAAGCAAAAAATGATGTTACAGAATCAGAAAAATAATGTTACAGAATCAAAAATAGACATCAACCAAAAAAAATTCAATTTAAAAAATTATATACTCACAATTTTCTTTTTCGACTGCAATTTTTTCCGGATCATTTCCTATTACATGTATGCTTAATTTTCTAAAATTATTTCCGTTTTTTATGTGTTTTGCAAAACATCTTTTCAGATCGTCGATCTTTATGTTTTGTATTGCAAGTACTTCCCTCTCGTATCTGTCAAAAACGTATTCCCCTTGTATTATCTCACTCCAGTTTCTATCAACTTCTTCTTTAAGAACGTTATCAGTATATTGATATAGCTTTTTTTCAATTATTAGCCTCTCTTTTAATTGATCCAAATCCATTTCCAGGAAATCATTCAAAATCCCATTAAACAATTGCAAAAATACCTCGATCTGCTCATCCATATGCTCGGTCGTGCATTTATTTGCCTTAGTATTAACGGTAATGGAATATCCTAAAACTCCGTTAATGTAGTCAGAGTCGCACGAGACAACTTTAAACTGCATTGTTTCATTTGATACCCAATTGTGTAATAATATTTCAATCATTTCCTGAAAAGAGGATGAATACGATATGCGGATAAAATCAGTAGCAATAATCGAATATATTATACATATTTTATTAACTTGTACATAGAAATAAATATACATAAAATATACAAATACATATAAACTGAGAATTGCAATAACTCAAAAAATATATAAAACGATGTTATTTAATATTTACCATCATCAGATCGAGTAATACCGATAATTCAACTGACATGACATCAAACTGATAATAATTTGTTACTACGGAAGTCGCATTCATTTTGTCTATATTTTTTAATTTGCAATAGCTTATGCCCAAAGGTATTTGAACGACTCTCATCTGCTGTACTGTATTACTAAGCAATGGACCACAATTAATTATTTTGAGACAATGCTGTATAGTCTCAATTGCATCGTCCTGCGTTATGTTACCTTGTACAAGACACTGGACGTACAGATGATCGGTAAAGGATTTCACAAAGCGTCGAAATTCTTTAAAATTCACGTTAGACAGAACAGTATGCTTTTCGACGTCTGTATAATGAATAAGCTTCAATATCGATAATTTCACATCACTGAAAGAAAGAAGAAAGGAAGTTATTGATCAGCAGAAATATAATCTGATATGTTTCATTTTAGACTAACAATTGTTACAATTAATATGTATCATTAATTGTTTCTATAAATTACGTAAAAATTTTATAATTATTGTAATTATGCTTAATAATAAATAACCAGTACTCGATAAGATGATATGGATCCATAAATGCTTTGCTATAATATCCCTCATTTAATAGTTGCACTTTGCATGATTCAAATAAAGACTTCGTAACAAGTGCTGGATAATTAGTCATGTAATTTGCAATAGTTATCAACAAGCGCTGCAATAAGTAAAATAATGTATCTCGAAAATATATTTATAAGAAAAAATAATAAAAGAATAAGAACTCTTGATATAAAAAACATAAATAACATACACACAATAAAAAAGGCTAGTAAGATTAACGACGAAGAAATTTCAGAGTATTTTATATATATCTATATATGTATTTCATATTCCATTAACAATATCAAAAGTTTTGGCTACATTTCGAGCCATTCTTAGCAAACAATTTTTCTCTCATATTAATCTCATTCTCATTCCTGAATCTAGGGAGAATCGCAGCTCTAATGCGATAATTAATTCTATACAATGATTTTAACATTTAAATAAATACTAAATTAAAAAAAATAAATAGAGAGCTCTCAAAACCAGAAACACTTATCTTTCTTTAATAATATAAAATTCCGCAATCATGTTGGAGAATTAAACAAGATAAAATTTCATACTAGTTTTATTATTTAAATTAAAAGTTAGAAATAAAATTCATTTATCATTTATTATTAACAAAAAATACTTTTACGGTTTTAGTTTTGGGTTTTCCATTGCCTTTTTTAATTTTGTCCTCACTTGAATCTACCAAATACCGTGAAAAATTAATTATGGCATTACAGCTACGACACTTTCTGGATTCACAAATAAAATTTAATATAAAATCAAAAACTTGAGACTGAAGAAGACTTAGAATGTGACCGGAAAGTATGAAATTGTCAATGAAATATAAAATATATTTGAAATTTGAGCTTAAATTACCACATCGTTATTCTCATTAATTTTTATCACTAATTATATTTTTATGTTTATAACTCCAACGCACGCTTGATTTCATACTTACGGGCAATTTTTCGATAAACCCGTTCATTTTGATTATAATACCTTTATCACTAGTACTGATATGATATTCAAATCCAGCTACCACAGCTGGATATAATTCTTCAAACAAAAGCAATTTTAATGCACGACAGTATATTTCCATAAAAATTACACTGAAATGTCATAAACGTGAATGTTCTTTTCATTAAGGTACAAATACAAATGCAAAATTATATAAAAATCATAGATTGGCAATTACATCATGGTGAAAATTTTTTCTTATATTTTTTTATACAATTTTTTAGAATTTTTATAGAAATTTCAGAATCACTTAGAATTTTTGATTAATTTATTTTAAAAAATTTCTCAGTTTCTATATACAGATTGAAATGCTTTTCGGAAATGTCGAGAAAGTCTATCTACACACACACGCCCGGGAGTAAAATTTTTTTATATATATATGAATTCTGAAATGTTTTAAGATTTCTAAGATTTCTTATTCCATATAATTTCTGATGAAATTTTATGAAATCTGAAAAGATTTATAGTTTTCTTCAGAAATTATAAAATTAGAAATTTTAGAATATTCCGATACAACACAGAATTTGCAGCAATATCGTTGCAAAATCTCTGCAATATTACTGTAACATGCAATGTTGCAGCAGTGTTACTGCAACTTTTGTGCAACTTTGTACTGTAGAAGTTTTGTAATTCATACTTATGAAAAATTTAAAGGAAAGGTGTGCTTTCTCAATATTTAAAGAAATGTCTTAATTTGTTCCAATGTGTCCCAAAAAAATCTGATAAATTTTCACTAAGGTAGTTAGAAATTAGAATAGGGTCAGTAATACAATAGTAGCACTATTATGAAGTAGTTATACTATTACACTTTCCATGCTATTACTTACTTCTTCGGCGACTGAATTCCTAAAGAAGAAACAAATTGTAAATTCATACAACATTTCGGCAAACGAAACTTGGGATCCGGACGATACCAAATTTCCGATACATGATCATTGTATATTTTTACAGGATATTTCGGAACTTTCACTGGTATCGATATTAAAGAGAAGTCGCTGGCAATGAATTCATTCTTTAATGGTAAATGAAAATCTGGCAACGGCTTAATGGATTTCCAATGTTCGATACATTCCTTTGGTACTTCAATATATATATGTTTCTTTTTGTTTTTTACACAGGACTGAACTTCATTATAATCGAAAGTCAAAGGACGAGGGTTTTTTTGCAAAATCGTGATACTCGCGGTCTCTGGCTTCAAATAGTTCAAATACTTTTGTATAGCTTCTAGATTGTACTCAATATAAATAAGCTTATTTGCAGTTATATAATCACGTGGCGGATAGAAATGCATACCCTTACACAAACTTACTATATAATCCATAGAATCTGTTTCATTAATAAATCTAAAAAGACCTCAAATTAATTGTTTCATATACGTAAATTTTGACAGACATTTCTTTTTCAATTACGTATATCTCTCTTTATATATATATGTGCGTGCGTGCGTGCGTGCGTGCGTGCGTGTGTGTGTGTTTCTTTATTCATTTCTAAAATAAATTTACCTAAAATTATATTCCATTATCTTATAGTAGTCATAGTAAATAGTCCTTTTATGTGGATCTTCTTTTTTTAATAAATTAATAAAGGAAAATATCGCATCTAGAACTTCCTTCAAATGTTCTTGTTTTTCACAGAAGAGCACTACAGTAAGCTTCAACACAGTATATATACAATTATATCTTAAGAACGTTTTACTGTTACATTGAACATTATCACAACCTATACAACATGGCATTTTTGTGCGTAGATAACTTGTTAAAGAACCTTTTCCTCTATACCCAATAATCCATGCGATATATTCATGAGGTTTATTTTTATAAAAATCAAGCGGTAAAGGCATTGTCCATGTTACTTCCAGCTGCAAAAGACAGTTTTTAATTTATAATTATATACATACATTTATTATAAATATAACTTCTTTTGGATCTATGTTGAAATTTTAATCACGTACTTTATCATCTTGCTTAAACATAATATGTGATATATGAGACCTTGTTCCGGTTAATATTCTTTCGATGTCGGAAGTATTAAAAGGAACACAAGGAACATTGTCTTCATAGTCATCGGTAGATAACTTGTTACTTGGTACATCAACAAAGCATTTCGTAACGAATTTTTCCAATGTGCCCAATGATAATCTAGCCTATCATGTAGCCAAAACATGTGTCATGTTATATGAAAAATATATTTAATATGTAGTCAATGATTTACAATGCAATTTATACTGAGTTACCTGTATAGCTATTGTCATTCTGTGAGCACCGTAATGGCGATTTCTGAATTTGTGCAATTCTTCACACAATTTATCATCATCCTTATTACTGCTAAAGGTCATAAAACTGTCCTGAATATACTTGTTGACTGGATCGGTTTGCGCACAGAATAACAGTTCCTCATTCTCATCATAAGATACCGGTTTATACTCTATATATGAATATAACATATAAAGACTGAAAGTTACATTGATATGATATTATAATTTATATACCACTTATGTTCTCTCGCTCCCGTATAATGACATCCTTCTTCATCAAAGGATTAATGAAACCTTGAGCAAAACGATCAAGAACAGATAATAAGTGTTTTTCTTGGACATCAAAGTAAAATGTTGTTTGCTCGCTATCTGTTAAGACATCAACAAATCCGCTACGTTCTTTGATGAATGCTTTAAAATCGATTTCCTACATATAGATGATACTTTTATACATTTACTCTCTTCTTTTAAGTAAAATTCTTTTAAGTAAAATCTGACTAGAGAGTGAAAATTGAACCAATCTCGAAATAGTGACTCATTTTCAATGTTTAAGGTCCGATTGCACCAACGTTAAATTAAATTTTTAGAGTGAGTCTCTCTCCAAAGAGAAATCTTGCTTTGGGCCCGGTTGCACCAACGCAACGTTACTTTGACTTTAAGCGAGACTTAAAACTCTCATTTTCTCTCTTTAAAGCCGAGAGAGTAGGAGAGATAGAGAGAGTTTTAAGTTCCGCTTAAAATCAAAGTAACGTTGGTACAACCGGGCCCAAGAGCAAGATTTTACTCTTTGGAGTGAGATTCACTCTAAAAATTTAGAGAATAATACAAATAAATGAAATTTTATACTAAAAATTGTGCATCATATTTTAGTACTTCTGAGTATTTTTCGGATTCCATGAAAACCATATGCCTGAATAAATTTGCTATGCCTTGATTTTCTGGATCGCTGAAACATCCTACTCCCACACATAAGCCACATGCTGCCTATTTAAAAAAATATACGCATATATACACACATCACGCATTACACACAATACACAATGTGTAAATTAAATTAAATGGAGAAATGAACACAATCAATAAAATAACCCATACATAATTCAAATTAAATCACATATTTCGAAATGAATCCTATATGACAACTTTTCTGCAAATAGTGAAGAACACCATTTTTTAAATGGAAACTTTTGATAAAACTGATAATATATTCTTATATTAGTTCTTGTAAAGACAGATTCCATTCATGATTTTATTATCTATCTTCAATATTATAATGTCAATAAAATTTAGTACAAGTTATATCCTAAAATGCAACTAAATTGTCTTGTTTATACCTTCTTTTCACTCTTATCGTCTTGATGTCGAGAATCATCTGTTTTTGAATATATATCTGATATAAGCAAAGCTGTTAAACCATTTACTAATCTGATGACTCTAAATTTAAAAGACAAAACAAACAACAATGAAATATAAAGTCAGTGAAAATGTTGATCATATAAAAAATCTAATCTTCCCTTGTACAAGATGGATTAACTAATTGTAACGTTTGTCTCAAAAGATTAACATCAAAATATTTTTCAAACCTATTTAGATCAAAATTATTCTTTTTACTAAGCATATGCCTTTGTGTTACCTATAATCCTTCTTGTCGTTTTCTGATTTGACGGGCGTCTCCAGATATTCAACTCGATACCGATCATCGTCTTCATTACGCTCCATCTCTGCAGGCAATATATGACGAGCAGAAAATCGAAATGAAAAGATCTAATCTGAGAATTCGTAATAAAACTTTGAAGATTAAGAGTTTTTAATTTTTTAATAGATTTGGAGCAATTTTAACTTTATCCGACACTCGTTTTTCCTTCGTGGCACTTGCTCTTCAACAAAGATCAAACGACAAATGTGTATATTGTAACCGTCTACGTAGAAATAATAAGCAGAGTCATAGATACATGCTTACTTATTATTTACATAGCTGTTTAGGGCAGGTATTCATAATCGGTTCTTATATTTAAAACTGTTTTATTAAGTAGCCTTAAGATATCAGTAAACCAATCACAGAGCCTTCATATTAGCATTTTAAGCTACTTTCCAAAACATCTTCCTAAGAAAAATTTTACTCGAGATATGTGGTACATCGAACGTATATTATAAAATTATATTGAATAAAATTTTCTTCGGAGAAGACATTTTAGAATGTTGCCTTAAGATATTATAAGATGTATCGATATAAGAATTGATTTATGAATACCCAATTTAACTTATAACTATTTATTTATTATTAAGCTACGCAGGAAAGGGATTGTACATGTGGTCGCAAACTAATTTAAATGTTTGATAAGTTAAACAAATTGTAAGAAAAAAAGATTTTACTTTATTATTGTTAAATATTATAGCTTAACACATAAAATAAATAGTATAGAGTACAATTGTGCAATAAATAGACGACCTGTGTGAGTCATGGAAAATTCTTTCAGCTTTAAAAAAATATTTTGAAAAATTAAAATTAGAATATCTGTTTTTATTAAAGCTATAATTACTTTCATGATTCACACAGATAGTCCGATTGTTTGTTGCGCAATCAATTTATTTTGTAACGTATTAAATTATAATACCTCTCTCTAACATTAATAAAGCAAAATTTTTTGTTTCTTACACTTTGTTTAACTTATAAAAATATATTTAAATCAGTTCATTAACCGTGGGCATTTTAATGTTATTTACTTTCGTTCTTTTCTCAAATGTTTCAATTTTCACGTACTTTTCATCATTTTTTTCAATTTAACTTAAAAAACTGGACATGATGGAGCAAAACAATTTACAAATTCGGATTCAGCTACCTTAAATCTATAAAAACCCCTACTCTGGTTTGTGTTTCTCTAAAATTTTTTTGTGGTGTTGAGGTAATTGGAACCGAATTCTACTAATCTACATACCAAAATGGAAAATCTTGCACTATAGTTTATTACTAATATACGATACATATCTACACTCGCTTCCTACAATTGTAATCAGTCTTTGGTTGAAAGAAATAGAGAGTACAATATTTAAAAACTTCCGCACAATTTCTTTTTTTTTTAGAACTTCTAATAAATAAAACAGTATTTTATATTACTATACGACAGTTTATTATGTCCTTTCCATTACACATCAAGTTTTTCAAAAGACGTCCACAGAACGTAGAACGTTCTTTAAATGTTCTTCCACAGGTAGTCACAGCAGAACTTTGTTGTCTGGATTACTAAAGTATCACTTACTAAATGCTCTGACAGGATAAGTATAGAGACCTTCCTTGTAATTTTCTACGTTAGTAATATAATGAACTTTAGTTTTTTCCTGATCGTCGCTTATATATTCCAAAACAAAGTGCTTTTCCTCGTATATATAATTTTCAGCTACAATAATTAATATTTTTTATTTTATTTATCTCAGCAACGTTGAGCATAATTCGACAACAAAAAGTGAAAGGCAAAAAATATTACAAAATCAGAAATCATCGACCAAAATTCAACCAAAAAGTTATTTACTCACTATTACCATTCTTGACTTCAATTTCCTCCGGATCATTTCCCACCACATGTATGCTTAATTTTCTAAAATTACTTTCATTTTCCAAAGTGTGCTTTGCAAAAAATTCTCTCAGATCATTGATCTTTATATCCTTCAATGTAAGCATTTTCCTCTCGAATCTATCAAAAACGTATTCCCCCTTCGTTATCTCACTCCAGTTTGTATAAACTTTATTTTTAAGATCGTTATCAGCAATATAATTATATTTTTTTACTAATTCCTTCTTAACATATAATCCAATTTCTTTTCTGAAATCTTTTCCAAAATCTGATTAAACGATTTCAAAAATGCTTCGATCTGTTGATCCATGTCGGTGTTATGTGTATAAAATCAATTGCAATAATCGAACATGTCTCATTCATATTTTTCCCGCTTTTTATGAAAAAAAAAAAATATGGATTAAATATGAATAAAATCAAGAATTGCATTGCATTAAAAAAATATACAAGACAATGTTTAATACATATCGGTCTCATCATATCGATTAATACTGATAATTTAATCGACGTGATACCGACTTGATAATAATTTGTCACTACAGAAGTTTGATTAATTTTGTTAATACTTTTCAATTTGCAACAGCTTATGCCCAAGGGTATTTGAACGACTCTCATCTGCTGTACTGTATTACTAAGCAATGGACCACAATTAATTATTTTGAGACAATGCTGTATAGTCTCAATCGTCCTGCGTTATGTTACCTTGTACGAGGCACTTGACGTACAGATGATCGGTAAAGAATTTCACAAAGCGTCGGAATTCTTTAAAATTCACATTAAACAGAGCAGTATGCCTGTCGACGCTTGTATAATGAACAAGCTTCAATATCGATAATTTCACGTCACTATAAGAAAGAAGAAAGGAAGTTATTGATCAGCGGAAATACAACTTGATATATTTCATTTTAGAATATTAATTGTTATAATTAATATGTATCATTAATAGTTCCTATCAGTTACGTAAAAATTGTATAATTGTTGCAATTATACAATTGCTTAATAATAAATAATCAGTACTCGGCAAGTTCATCTGGATTCGCAAATGTATTCGTAAGATATTCCATATTTAATAATGATATGGCGACTCGCCACCAGAGAGGTCTAGCGAGGACTCGCGCGGATTCTCGTGAGCGCCACAGCCACATGAATTCTCTGTAAGTAGGATCTCGATATAAAATTCTCCCGGGCGTCTAAGGCAGGTCCCACTACATCGCCTTGACTGATGAGTCCAGTAATGGGACCAGGACGAAATCCCGCGGTTGATCATAGTTCGAATCGATCATAATCACTTTTCATTTTTTCGGCTACACCAACAAACATATCGCCAAAATGATAGATTTGTAGTCCTTCAAACTGCGCGCCGAATTGGTTTTCCGGACTTATAAATGCAATTAAACTACTGGAATAATATCACGAACTGAACTAAATTGACAAGCAATTCTTAAATAATTTTGATGCACAATCAGGCATCATATTAGCAAGATGTTACTGTGCTGAAAAACTGTAAATAAATTTATTGCGAAAAATATTATCTCGGGCGAGAGTATATATATATATATGTATGGTATATACATATATATATATATATATATATATTCGTAAGATATTCCATATTTAATAATGATAATCTGCAGGTTTCGAATAAAACATTCGTAACAAGTGCCGGGTAATCTAGAATATATAGAGCTGCAGTTCTTGTTGATAATTATTGCAAAATACATTCTAGATTACCCGGCACTTGTTACGAATGTTTTATTTGAAACCTGCATATTATCATTATTAAATATGGAATATCTTACGAATATATATATATGTATATACATATATATATATATATATATATATACTACCGGCCGAGGTATAATATTTTTCGCAATAAATTTATTTACAGTTTTTCAGCACAGTAACATCTTGCTAATATGATGCCTGATTGTGCATCAAAATTATTTAAGAATTGCTTGTCAATTTAGTTCAGTTCGTGATATTATTCCAGTAGTTTAATTGCATTTATAAGTCCGGAAAACCAATTCGGCGCGCAGTTTGAAGGACTACAAATATGATATATATGCAAGTACATATATGGTATATATATAATTCACATTGAATTATTGAAAAAGCATTATAGATCTAGCTTCGACTGTTATAGGCATTTTAATTTCTATTATTAATTGTGTTTCTTACATATGTATATATATTTGTATACATTTTTTAATTCTTTTGGAGTTCATTTCGAACGGATTACTCTTATTCATAAGGAATTTAAGACAATAGAATAGATAATACAAATTCTTCATCTATATAATTGACGGACGTAGCACAGATACCACAGGGTTTGTTCGCGTCGTATGTTCCAGCATGTTCCAATATGCTTCTACCATAGCTCACTTGATAGAGTGAGTAGGAGCTATGGTAGGAGAATGTTGGATTATGTTGGAGCTTGCGACGCGAACAAATCTACAGACTCGTTAGACTCGTGCATCACATCCATTTGATTCATATTCGACGTTCCCTCTGCTGTGACTTTATCGACAGTGTCAGACGATGGATGTGGCTACGTAGTACCCAATTCGAGAATAGATGTAATGGCGGTAGTGTACGGTGAATTTTAAAGTCACTAAATTTAAAGTACCGCAAACTCGTCGCTATCTTGGCTGCGTTCGAAAACATCACCCGTGCCCCCGTGTATTATCTTATCCTCATTTAACATTGAGTAAATAATAAGGATAAAAAGATACACGGAGGCACTCGGACACAATGGCTGCGTTCAGCAGACTCAACAGTTTTGCAACCGTTTTATGATTGTCTGCTGAGATAGGACCATTCTTCTAGATCTAAAAGTATGATCCAATTAGCGCGAAGGAAACTTCCAACAGTTGCAAAACAAACGTTCTGCTGAACGCAGCCATTATAAGTAAGAACAATAGTTTCACTCAATCAAAAACGGTGGCCACCGTTCTGCACAATTAACAACATAGCGCACCAATCAGTTTCTCTATTCCCTAAGATTCTTCGCTCTTATAGGTGCTCATGCACAATTTTCATCATGGCGATCGTTGTGTCAGATCAAAGGTGCCGACACAAAGTACGGAATCCATAGGCGTTGCTCAAGACTCGAGATGGTCTTAAACTAGTGCTTGAATCAATCAGAGAGCCGTATTAGCATCTTAAGACATTGCTTGAGATTAAGACCGGACTATGGATTCCGGCCAGAGTGAAACTACTGTTCTTACCTATATTGTGACTCGGGCTGCGGTTCACTTGACGCTACAAACGCCTCGAAGCATTCTTTGATTAGTCAATTTGTAAAACTCTTTGTTCTGATTGGTCGCTTCGAAGCGTTTGTAGCATCAAGTGAACCGCAGCCTTGGGTGATGTTTCCGAACGTAGAGACACTGGCTACGTTTACACCGTGCACTTAGGCCGCGGCCTATACAATAGATGTTCTTGTTTATCCTGTATATTAAACAAAGACACCTATTGTATAGGTCGCGGACTAAGCGCACAGTGTAAACGTAGCCACTATAATAAGAGACTGGCATAAGACCGGAATCAAACTACGCATTGAAGATTGAGGTTGAAGATTGAAGATTGAAATTTGACCAATGAGGACAAAGAAATTTTAGCTCCTTTCGTTTCGATTGGTCAAATTTGAATTTTTCAATCTCAATCTTCAATCTCAATCTTCAATGCGTAGTCTGATTCCGGCCTAAGTTCTAGTTGGATAGAAAAAGGCATTTACAGGATAGATAAATCATAGGACGCGTTCGCATCTAGGACGGAAAAGCAGAAAAAGTAGGAAAGCAGAAGCCAATCAGAATTCGGACTGTACTATCATCTATTACCAGCACGTCTTTTGATTGGCTTTTGCTATTCCATATCCAGCCAATAAAAAATTAGCCTATCTATGCCAGTCTCTTATTATGGCTACGGTCCGTTTGACGCTACAAACGCTTCGAAGCGTTTGAGCGACCAATCAGAAGGAAGAATTTTACGAATTGACTAATCAAAGAATGCTTCGAAGCGTTTGTAGCGTCAAGTGGACCGCAGCCCATAGTGTCTCTATTCGAACGCAGCCCTAGATGCAAAACGCGACTATTTCAAATTTATGCATTTGTATAAACGTACTTTATTTGGGAAAATGAAGTCGTCAAGTACGTAAATAAATATTTTTTAATTATAATTAGTTTATTTATGTGCAAAAAATATGTACATAATGCTTAATTTATGTATTATTTAATTTAATACGGGTTTATTTGTTGTAGAAATTTAATGCATGAAAGTGCACGAAGAGTACATGTAAGTACAGTTTAAAAGATGAACCACCATGCTTGAAATCGTGTACTATGCATTTCCACCATATTGACGCAACATTTCAAAAATCAATTGAGGTACTTTATAAATCTAATGATTTTAGTGAATTTCAGCGTGGATCTCAACATGGATCTCAACGTGGATTTCAACGTAAATTTCAACGTGGATTTCAACAACGTGGATTTCAATGTAGATTTCAATGTGGATTTCAACATGGATTTCAACCTGAATTTCAATGCGGATTCAATCTGTGTGGTTCCACATACTCTCAAAAAAAGCTCTTAGGTTTTTCTCTGATACATGTTATCTGCATTTTATGTACTTTCGATGTTTAAATATGAATTAAGTAGTAATTTAGTTATAAAATGGAGTAGATCCGAAGACAGAAAACGATACGTGTGTGACAAATCGAAAATACAAATATCAAAGTTGCCACAGAAAATAAATTTTAAAATTCCCTGACTTTTCCAGGTTTTCCGGATGCATAAAAATGGAAAATTTTCCATAAAATAGGTAAATTTTTACATTTAGAAGCAAAAACTTTAGGAAATCTAGCCTATATTAAAAACAACATAAAAGGAGCTCAGTAAAATAGACATAATAAAATTTTTAGTGCAAATTCAACTAAAATGTAAAGTCAACTAAAAATAAATTTATATTGGGAAAAAGAATGCAATTATGACAAGAAAAGGCGATTAAATATTTAACTATAAACGTCAGAGAATAACACTTAAAAAATTATAACAATTATTCTGAATAGGAACAGTTTAAGGGAATTGTGAGCAAAGTTCAAAATTCTAGTCTCTTACATTTCCCCTGACTTCCTAGTTTTTCCGATTTTCCCAGGTCTGCGGCAACCCTGATATGTTATCTTTCTCTTCGGGAAATTCCAAAACAAATGAACATGCAGCTGCAAATAAGCCTGAAATAATCCAAATGCTTCGGTTATAACGTTATAACGGTGAGTCTAAATTTAACTTCTCGTCGTTAAAACCCTTCCTATTCGCTCGTAATAAAAGTAATAAGTTCGAGTTAATTAGTACTTATATGTATTACATCGATAAAACGTAAGCAAAACTAACTACGTAGCATTGCTGATTTTTTCCTCTTTTATTTTAATTTTTGAAATCGACTTTTCGGTTAGCCGGGGTTGAGACCTTAATAAGGATTCTCGAAAAATGTTACATATACTAGAGAAATATATATGTACGTAACGTATGCTCTAGATAATACTTTTTGTACGTCATGCATTGTCATATGCGATATTTTTCGAGAATTTTCGGACAGTTGGCCCCTGTTTCACGCGGTGTCGAGATATTTCACGATTTTCATGCGTCTGACATCGTTTAAATCTCTATAAATAAATGAATTCATTTGGATTGTTTACAACAATCTAAAAATACATTTCTGACATAACAAGGGCAAATGTAATCTAGTTGGGACGTCAAGAATTGACCGTGCGTTTGATGCGCATTTGTTGATTACTCCGTACTCCACTCAAGCTTTTGTTGCCTAACCTCAATACTGTACTACATACTGGTGCTTCAGATAAAATTATCTGACGCAATCTGACTTTGATAAGTATGGGTTTATTCATATATAATTGTTGTAAGCGTAATTTCAGTATTTCACGATTGCTAAAATCAGTGGCTTATCAGTGGCAGTTTATACTGTGATTTTAGTCAGCGACTTATTTTACATTTGACTGATTTGACTTAAATACGAAAATCGCGACGATGCAGTTTATTTATCGTGTTCTAGGTCACAAGTCGCAGACTAAACGGTGTCAACTAGGTCAGTAGTATAAATTCAAGCAACAGGATTATGTATTATGGAATTATTCAAAATGGACTTTGATTGGAATTATTCCGTTTTCTGTAGAATACAACACAAATTTAGGGAGTAATTGAATAATTTTAATCGGAATCCATTTAGAATAATTCCATAATATGTACCCAGATATCAAAGTATTTGGAATCATTGATAGAAACGTACAAATTTATCTTATGCCTGTTTTTTTTTTTCAGCTGAATTTTTGCATAATTCATCTTTCCTCTTTTTCTCTCTACATTGGAGAAAAAAAAAGAAAAACGATGCAAGAAATTCAGCTAAAAGGAATAGCCTCTTACAATATTAATTGCTTCATTCATTTTTTGTTATTAATAATGTATTACTGATATTACAGGAAAGTAATTAATTTCTGCAGTCTAGACGTTTTCTTGCTGATATATAATTGTTGTGCAAAGTTGACCAGCAATTTTAATCGGGTGATCAAAATATGGCTCATCCAATTTTGCCTAATGATCCTAAAGCAGAAGAAATCACTGAGGGAAAGAATGAACCTACATTTAAGTTGGACGAACCTGTTACTACGGTTCTAAATGTAAATCCACTGACTAACGATGAGGAAGACAGCCTTTCTTTTGTAGTGCTTGGTCGAGATTCAGTAGAGGCTCAAGCTTCCTTATTAGCTTCGTATACCGATCTTCAACAGAAGAGCATGTCAATTGTATATGCATCTCAATTTTACTTTATCTCACGATTGACCATTTACTTTAAGATAGAAAATAAATGTCTTTTTCTATACAGGATTATAAGTCAATGGTGTCATCAATGACCGTAACTGCAATGCAACACAGATTAGCAGAAGTGTTGCAAGAAAATGTGAAATTGAAGGAAACTTTAAGACAGAACAATGAATCCATGAAACAACAGTTTAATACTCTGGCAATGTGGCAGGAGGAAGTGACAGAAGTTCATCTGAGTCACAAGCAAAAATTTGCAGAAACTAAAGAACTTATCAATCATCTGAAAAAGGAAAATGCAGAGCTAAAATATAAATTCTTGCGCTTACAATATTTTGAAGATGTGGACTGTAAGGTATATATACACAGAAAAATACTATACATAAGTAATAATTATATTTTTCAAGTATTTCAAAGGTTCATATATCCGCAAATCTATCATAAGTTTAATTAAAAATTATTCAAAATTATTCAAATCAGTCAAATTATTCAAAATATTTTCTGAATTCTAGTAAGTTTAATACTTTAATCAAGATTATTTAATTAAAACAAATTCGATTTGCTTGTTTTTATCGATTATACAATGTCGCTATTTCAATCAATTTTAATATTTTTCAAAAGAAAATTAATTCTTATTTTAAGTACAATACTAATGAGTGTAAAATTAATTTGTATTTAATTAGTCAAAATAGTAAAATAGCGCTTCAAGATTCGTGACAAGTATATTTTGAGATTAACAAGAAAATATATTCTTTATCAAGAATAACTGTTATTTAAAAGGAACAAAATAAATTGAGTAATTATTTTTCTTAGCAATAGAATAATATTTTTATATGTGTAGAGATGTAATATATGATATATATATATATGTATCCTACATAATTCTATCCTTCATTTAATTTTTTTCAGATTATTAGTTCTGTTTCTGAGACTTGTGTCAATATTCTTTCTAGCAAGCAAAAAGAATCCTTTTTCTTATCACCCAAGGATATACTCGAAATTGTATCTGTAATGTCAAAATTAACAATTGAAGGTTGTAAAAAATGTATAACATCTATAATATCAGAGAAATTTGATGATAAAGAGAAATTACAACAAAAATTGCAGCAATTAGAAACGGAAAAAGAATTAGAATCGGCAATGATAGAGAACAAAATAAATTACAAACTTTACAGTGATGTAGAGACCACAGAAAGTTCGAAATGTTCGAAGGCATACTCTGAAAAGGATCAGGAAATTGCTTGCTTAAAAGAATCTAATGCTCTACTTGAACAGAAGTTGCAATGTGTACGTTTCTTTAAAAAGTTTGCTAAATATCTTAACAATTAAATTCAGAGATAAAATCGAATTATCTTTTAAATTTTGCAGATTCTTACTCCTGTTAAACAAGATTCATTGGAAACGTCCAGTTTAAGTCATCAAAAATTCGTACAAAATGTAAAGCAGTATAATGATATGCTACAAGAATTAACTAAATGTTTTGTAGAACAAGTAGGACGTTTTGCTGCCTTAGAAAAAAATTTAAAGAAAATTACGGATATACTTAGACTTGACGACAATAAAATGCAGTGTGAAGAGGAATTATACCAGTATTACAAAGAATTAACTGATGAGCAAATAAAAATTATTACTGATAAGCAGACGCTAATAAAATCACAAAACCAATTCCAAATGATATTCTCTGATTACAACTCTGTTCTATATGAATTGCAAGTAATGCTCGATGAAAACGCGAAATTAAACATTTTAAAGGATAATAGTGCTCGCGAAAATTTAGAAACATCAGAGCAACTGGAACGTGACAAGCAATCATTGGAACAGGAAAAGAAAATTTTCGATCAAGAAAAGGACAATCTAAAAAATGAAAAAGAATCCTTCGAAAGCCAGAAAAAGAGCTTGGACATGGAACGTGTATTATTACAAGACGAGAAAAAACTTTTAGAGCAGGAAAAAATCAGTTTAAATGAAGAAAAAATGTCACTTGATCATCAGAGTCAGTTATATGAAGACTGCGAAAGAGATCTACACAATGAAAAAAAAATATTGCAAGCTCATAATGAACAATTGCTGAGTGAAACATGTAGCTTGCGACAACAAATTGACGAGAAAGATGCGCAATTTAAAAAGTTAATAGAACAGTTTGCGCAAAGCGTGAGTGAAATTTTTCTTAATATAAACTAACATGGCTTATATAATTTAATTTAAAATATTTGTGTAAATTCTATATCAATTTTATATCATATCTTAAATTTGATTATTTTTATTAACATTACTATTTTTATAATTATTTTATTACTGTTTTTTTGTAGACGGAAGAGATACATTTATTAAGATCACAATTATCACTTTACGAAGAAGACTTTCAACAAGAGAAAAAACTGAAAGAAGCATTGTTGGAAGAAAAGAGTAAATTGGACACGGAATTGCTGAAGCAAATAGAGTTTAACAAACAGTTACAAGAATCTAACAGTGTTAAGTTAGGACACACATTTGAAGATCGAGTAAGTAATTCTTTAAATTCATTATACCGTGACGTTTTATCTAAAAATAAAAATGACTGTTTCCTGCTTTTTATTACCATTAGAGCAGTGACAAATACAATAGGCATGCAAGAGGCGGCAACGCCACTGTACGAGATAAGCGGACGAATAATCGAAATTATTTTCGCTTATTTTCAATGAAATAGTGAATAATACATATTCATTCAAATATTCAAATTCCTTTCGGAATTGGTATACATGCAGACATAAATAAGTTTTATTTCTATCGTACTGTAGTTTCTTCTCTGTAGTTCTGTAGTTGTATGCAACGCTTTCGGTGTATCGTATAGTTGGCATTGCTAAGTTGGTTGTTTTAATCCTGGATTATTCTCTTTCGTTTACTTCTCATTCTCTCTGTCCTTTCAAGGATACAAATGCGCTTTTTACTGGGTTATTGTAAGCTACATGTACTTACAATATTGCTGAAAGTAATTAGTATACTGTTATATCTATGTTTTAGTAGATATAACAAATTTTAAAATCTTTATAAATTTTTTCTCAAAGTTTGCTTATAATTATAATATAATTTTAATGTTGATTCTTCTTTCTTTAATGTTAAATCTATTCATATAAATGTAGTATTTTAATTTTTTTAATTAGAATATATTTTACATAATTGTTTATAAATGTTCCTTGATTATTCTGAGGAATGTGGTTATTATTATACTGTACTATAAACAGACATTGATAATAATCCAGGATTCAAGTTCAGTACTTTTTTCAAATGGCATTTTGCATTGATATTGGATAATGGTAAATTGCAGAATGTAAAGAAATTAATTATTGCATATATAATATGCATTTTAATATAATGGTGAGAACAAGAATTTTAATACGTGACTCCTATTTTTATTTTCTCATTATATCAGCGTTATTCAATTGTTGTTTAATTGTATACGATTATTTTATTTTATTGCTTATAAGATACACGAAATGGCATACATTGGATACGCGAACAGAATCTACAGAAACTGCTCGACATTTGTCACAGCCCTATACACTTTTTTGCTCTTATTTAAATGATCGATTCAATGTGCTTCTTAATGTGCGATGTGATATCGCACAATAAAATACTGAACATAACATTATATGTTATAAGTTTATTTTTAATCAAAGTAACTGAATACATTATACTGAAAACAATTGTGTTACAAATCTAAACTAATATATATCAACTTGATTGCAGAGCTTGATACATAGACAATGTCCAAAATGCTTTATGATATGTCGAAATTCGTCAGATGTGTTAAAGCATATTAGCACATGCGAATATTCTTTAACTTAATAGAACATAAATTCATAAAAAATCATGTAAGTAAGTATGTACATTCTCATAAAAAAAGAGTAACTTCATATTATTCATGTACTGATATGTGGTACCTCTTATATTGTAATATTCCTATAATTTCTCTTAATATAAGAATAATTTTACGTAGTGAACGGCTTCTAAAATGCAAGAAATATATAATATTTAATACTTAATACTTAACTTTATGTGTATACTTATATACTAATTATAATGATGTTAAAAACGCGTTTTAAATCTAGTTTTAATAAGACTGAATAACACATAATACATATAAAAATTTTATTTTTTTAAATATTCATTTGTAATTAGGGTTAATATAGGAATATAATTCGAAAATGTATTGAGATATTTTTCGATGTTTCTCGTTCGACATCAGTTATCTCTATTTTAATATTTGATGTACTTTGGAAGTGCCAAAGAAAAGTTTTTTTAAACAAAATACTATTACAACGACACGTGTAATTAAAATCTAAATTTTACTCCGGAATATTAATTTTACATTATCTTTGTACATCGCACACGCACCTGTACGCAACTGTTAGCTACCTCATGTAATAGTACTGTGAGTAAGCAATAAATAGTTTTGAAGAAAACGTGCTCTTAATGAAAATGAAACTATTCTTTCAAAGCACCTATAACATATCTGCGCATAACTATGTTAAATGTAGCTAATGATGGGTATATGTACACCAAGCACGTTTCGCTCGAATACATCTATACTGGATCTACTACAAATACATTTAAGAGAAAATATCCTCGTCCCTAGTTCTTATTTATTTCCACTGCCTCCGGAACGCGTTCACATGCGATAACAAAGACGAGGCTGGGTGATGCGACTTGGACCATGGTCACTGTAGCTCCGCTCCAAGTCCCTCGTAGCGAAGAGGGAGGGGCAGAAGAAAAAGAGGTGATGCCTGACCTTGGCTGGAGGAGCCGCGGTCAACGATTCTTTCCCGCGTGCCGGTCGGAGAAGACGCATGTCTTTTTGCGCTATACGATCATCGCATGCACTCGCCATCCCTCCACCTTTTCACAAATCGGTCGGGACCGATCGCGGAGGGACACATCACGACGACGACAGCGGCGGCAGTTGCGACGACGAGTCTGCTCAAGGCAGGCCGGTCGCACGTCCTTACCAATTTTTTACAACCGACGAGCGCACATCCGTTTAATGCACTCGTGGGGATACCCCGTCGAGTTCGTGATCCTCGTAAGTGGACAGAATGCGATCGAGTACTTCCCCGGATACTTCCAGCTGGTAGTCATGGGTGGAGTGACTGCATAAAAATAAATGAATTCGAAAGAGAAAAACTAGTTAAAATGAACTAGTATGATTTTTGTACAATTAAAAAAGTTTCGAGAAATATCGCTTATTTGCTACAATTTAAAAATTATTTTTAAATGCAAAAAAGAGTAAAGAAAAAAAAAGAACATATTTTTATTTCTCTGTAATCAGTTATTACACAAATTACGTTTTAAAATTAATATTGCAAGATTTTAATTATTTAAAATATTTAAACTTATTTTCTCTAAAAACTGTTTTTTTTTTACTATTTTTACTTTGTTTTTTTGTACTATTGTTATGACAAATGAGCGATATGAACTTAGGATCTTTATAAATTCGTTAATTAAGCTTTATATTGAAACTGGATGTTTCTTGCAAAATATATATAACAAAAATTCAAACTGTTTATGTTTTATTTTCAAAGCTTTAATAATTCAATTTTATTTCCAAATTTCTGCTAATTTATTTTATGAAGTTTCGAAAAATATGGAGATTGTTGTAGAAAAAAAATGTGCAGTTATGAATCGGATGCTAATTGCAGAGACAAATGATCAGTACGAGAAATCACCACTTAATGGATGACTGATGGGTTAATAAGTAGACGATCAGCGGTGCACTCCTGTCTCTTAGGATACCTTCTAATTTACATTCCCTCGGTGATGGAAAAGAGCAGCACGCGTTCATTAATTAAAGTGACGAGCGGAAATGCGGGCGACGGCAGCATCTTTTAATGGCGCAGCATCCAGGGAATCAATAATATCTCCCGTAGTTGCAAGATATGCATAGAAATTTTTCCTTATAAGACCGGTTGATCAAGATTCAATTAAGTCTCCCCACTCGAATTGATCTTATTAGCATACGAGGAAAAAAATATAAAGTATTGATATGGATTTTTTTAATCATAGAATTTTCTTAAAAGTTCTAAAGCTCTTTGATGTGTGACACAGAGTAGAAAGCTTCTAGTATCTTTACAGATTTTCTTTGACAGAGTGCGTTTCAATTCTGCTATTGAGATAATGGATGTTTTTTTTTTTTAGCAAGAGACAAATGACACAATGTAACAGTGAAGTATTTAATTTTCATTTAACATTAGCAAACAACAAGGATGTAATAATTCAATTTGTTACACTGTGTTATCTGTGTCTTACTGGAAAGCACCTAATTAGACAAGTATATTTGATCCAACACAAATAATTTTTACACCAATCACAGAAGAGAGAAGAGAGATATTTCAAATTTGAAATATATATCTATTTGAAATATCTCTCCTTCTCTCCCTTTTGTGATTGGTGTAAAAATTATTTGTGTTGGAGCAAATATACTTTCTGTTAATACAAGAATTATGAAAAACACTTGATAAATCTGTTGTATTTTTTAACTTATCTGTTATATGCTTACATCTAAATATATGAATATTTAATGCGCGAATAGTTTGTTTAATCTGCCATCACGATGCCTTAATTGTTTTCAAGTGCAAAGTATACAGTAAGATAATTTAAAAAATCGTACGACACGAGAACGTCAAATTAAAATGTTCTTGAAATGTTTGCCGTTCACATTACGTATAATTCTCTTTATGCAACATGTGTAAGAATTTCTGTTCGGTTACATGAGTAATTCTACATCCTTTTTACCAATTCCGCATACTTTTAAAACGTGACTGTGTTAAATCTGCGATGGTTCAATCTACCGACTGAATTTTCAGTTTAAAGTACCGGTTATGATAAAAATGTAAATGTAACAAACACATTTACAGCTTTGTAAGAAAAAAGTGCATAATATTAACGTCATAGCAATGCCGTTACCTATTTATATTACGATCGATGTTTCATAGATCCTTTTTTAAAAGATATAGAAAAACATCAGGACTGGCAGAAGTCCGACCTTCATTTAAATAAAGCGTAAAAGTGTCGCGCAACTTCTAGGTCAGGAGCATTATCAAATTAACACTATTATGCCGAAAATGATCTTGAAACTTAAGTTTCAGCACATATTTAAAATACGAAGTATTATCCTCAATTTGTTACATTAATTCCAATATCAATTTGTATAATATATTGTGTAACATTTGTTAATATATTGTAAATATTTTCTCAATATTAATGTAAAAACGTTTTAATTGCTAATGTTAAAAAAAAAATTGTAAAAACGTTTCAATAATTAGATCGTATGTTATATTTAATAATAAATGATTATTATTAAACATATATATATATATAGATGTAGTATCAATTAAGGTGTGTCAGATGTGTTTAACGTTGCTGAATGATAATGACGATGATTAATCACGCTACTCAATGACTCAGCGTTTTTAATTTAAATCACGATCTGCCATTTTTTTCACTCCCCAAGCATTTTTTGCATATAAGAATGTTGCATTCCAAGAATTATGATCTTGAGATCATTCGTCGTTATCATCCCTCTAACGTAAATGACTCTCCGAAAAGACCTGACAAAATGCAGTTGTAGTTCTGTATCCAAAGCGCGCCTTCCCAGAATCTCCTCTCTTATATGAAGCGATACCGAGAAGTATTATTAGATATAATTAGACGCGTACTAATTAAATTATGTGTGTAAATATGCCTCGTTTTTCTCGCGTAAACTTGATACGAATGATTAATTATTTCCTTGTGCGAATGATGTGTAATCGCCCTATCGAAAGCCGCGGTAAAATATCTTAAGTAATTACGTGTCGCGCTATTTAAATGTATGCATTCTCGCTTGTTTTTTGTAAGAAATTGAAAGAAATGGAACGTTTAATAAACAAACTCGAAACAGCGTAGCTCTTTTACGTCAAAACGCATTCAATATTCACTTTTGATGCCAATGAAAAAAAATTAAATATTGAATGTATTAATTCGGAACGTATTGCAAAAAATGTCAGCTATTTTAACGCCAGCCGTGCATCTCAATGTTGAAGATATATTCTTCATTTAATCTCTAAACAAATCTTTTATTCCCAGGAAACACCAATTAACAATAACATCAATGTAAATATAATATAATATAATAATATATTGTGTACAATTACATTTGATTACATTATTGAGTCTAAATCTATAACGTGATGTTACTGTTATAGTTGATATTTACTGGGATTTTCATTCATCTTTTATGCTAAGAAGTTAGTCAGAATTTTATTAGGGATGTTTTGGCTGTACAATATTTTAGCTAAAAGTATCAGCTAAAAAGTCAATATCAACTAATATAAGTTAACAAATGCCATAAATACGCTTTGAAATCAACTGTAAGAAAGCAAAATAAATAATTTTGTTTATAATGATTTTATACAGAGGAATGATCATGTTTTGTTGCAGTTTTCGGTAAATAATTTTAATTGATATAATTTAATTAATATAATAATTATTAATATAACATAATTAATTAATATAATCATTTTAATTAATATAATTATCAATATTTTTAATTGTTTTTATGAAATTATGATGCATCGTTCTTCTTCTTGTCAATTTCCACCGAAAGAGGACGCAACGGCTGAACTTATTCGATGTCGATAAATTCTTAAGTAAAACGCATTATAGAAATTAAATAAAATATTATATACGTTAAATAAAACATTACGTGCATGTCTTGCTATATCCTACATATCGCATGAATGCAAGGTACATCACTTCGTAGATCGATTTCCACTTACTTCTCTTGTAAGCTTAATTCAAAATCATAATTTGAAGGTCTCATTATATTCTTATACATTATTCAAACATGAGAACTACTTTTTGTTTAGATATATACTTAGAATCATTTATATATCATTTGAAAAAAATAACCTTTGTGATAATAATAATAATAATAGAGGAAGCAATTTAAAACTTTTTAATTTTTTATATAGGTTTGTAATTTCCCCACAGCTATTTGCATTTTTTTCTTTTATTCTGGAGAAGGATTCTTTTTTTACATTCTGTATAAGAAAAACGAAAAAAAAAATAGAAAATGCGCGTTTCGCCGGGTATTACAGACGATGCCAGCATTCCCTTAAAGAACTTTTCAATATTTCAATACTTCGCGTCAGGGAAAAATGAAGACATTATAAGATCACGAAGAGACAAGTTGATTCGAGGAGAATATCTGCGAAAATTATCGGCTCGATGAAATCACGAGATCGGATTTTACGAGGATCACGTCCTCGGCGCCTCCGCGGTACAGCGCGCATCGCGGAATCTCAGGATCCCACGAAAACACTTGGCATTGACATTCCCATTTGCGGCTCTTTGTGCCGCAACTGGTACACTCCCCGTTCCGAGAGCACGGCATCGTGTTATCTTCCTCACTCGTTCATTCGCTCTCTCGCACGTGTGAAACCGCAGGTAGCCGACAACAAGCGTGCGAATACCTGTGCACGTGTTGGTGCGTGCGTACCCCTGCGTCAGGAAAATGCGCCAGGTTGGTCCCGCGTATATAAGGCCTGCTACACTCGAAATGGAATCAGTCTCCGATATGTTGCGTCCATTGCATTTCGTAAGTGGTCCGCATGACTCCCTTGCATCTTCGACGTCGATCCTATTGTCTCAAAGACACCTCCTCCTTTGTTCTCTCGGTTTTTTTTCGCTTCCGCGTCGCGTGTGTATACGTTCCTTCTCGACGGCACGAAGCGTCAATCACGAGCACGATTAACTCTGATTAATTAAATTAGCGTAATTCGCGTCCCCAAGATCGATCACACATCGCTCGAAGTGAACTATCTTCGAGCAGTCAGGATTATAAATACACGGAATGAACGATTTTACTGAAGAATCTAAAAATTTAGCTAGACGTAGAAAATAGACTGAAAACAATTTTATTGGACAAAATAATTACGAAGGAAACTCAAGTATGAGCAATGCTACGAAAAGTTTTGACATTCTATAACAATTAATCAACTTGAGCATCCTATATAATTATTTTGAAAATCCAGCAAAATTATTTTTTAATCTGTATCTAGCTAAATTTTTAGCTTTAAAGATCGAATATAAAGAAAAAGCTTCATTTTATGTTATTCTTTCCTTACATTTGCTTATGTTCCAATCTTTATTTTCACCAGGAAAACTTTATAAGTTAGCGAACAGAAAATTTAAGTCATCAAAATATCAGTGAATTTTATTGTACTAGAAATCTTACGATATTAGAAATTTTTTTCAAAAAAAGATGTAAGTAAAATTTATTCAAACATACAATATGGATCACAGTTATTATGAATCGTATCCAACGAAGAGAGAAAGAAACGACCAATAAGTCTCCACACACAATCGATCGAAGATTTTCTAAAATTTTTCAAGTGCATTCCTAAGATAAATCGCGAAATATTGCATAAAATAGTGCTTCCCGGCGAGTTTCCTACGATGTAGTACCCCCCACATATCATTATCGCGCGAATCGCAAATCAGGGGAAGATGATAAAGGAATTGCACCGTATTGATTCTAGGTGTTCCTCTTCGCGGCGTTTGCCGTCCTCACGTTTGCCGCCGCTGCGGAAAACGAAGCTCCGGTAAATGTACAGAGTGAAGTCGAACCACAACCGGATGCGAACGATTTAGAAGCGGACGCTACGTACTGGGGGTGAGTTACGATCATTAATTTCTATCCCATTTATCTCGATCCAGAGGAAAGTCCATGAATCTAAAATCATGGAATCACAAAATACATCTGAGTGTAACTACACAGAAAGAACGATTTTGCTGAATCAAAAATTAGATACAGATCTGAAAATAATTTTCTTGAATTATTAAAGTAATTATATAGAACGCTCAAACTGATTAATCTCAAAATTTTTTATAGCATTACTCATTATATTTGTGCGTCTAAAGCCCAGTTCCACAACTCACGGTTAACTCTTAACCAATGTTCAACTCATTTCTCATCTCTTTCCAATTCTAGGATTGAAAAGAGACGAGGAATGAGTTGAACCTCGGTTAAGAGTTAACCGTGAGTTGTGGAACTGGGCCTTAATGACTCAAAATTATTTTCAGCGAAATCGTTCTTTCGGTATTCGTATTTCTCAATTGTACCCCGCCGTTCGTTACAATAATAGCCGAAAACTTACACATCATTCACGCAAAATCGATAGTTTTAGATTCGCGTGATGAGTATCTTAAAATTATCAGGCGAGATTAAAGTGTATGATAAAGACGGTAAACGTGTGGGTTAAAGATAAGTTGAAATTCGCGTAATAAAAATCTTTCGATGCGACCTCAGGACTTACCTAATATCTTCATTATTTAGAGTTGGGACGCGTCGTCGGAATCAATTGTAACGACAAACATCGAACAGCAATCACGTATCCCATCGTAATCGGGGCTTACTCAATCGCGATTATACACTTCACGCATGTACTTTGTATGCGCCTTACTCGCTTACGGTCGCTTACGATTCATTCGTAAAGATGACAGTCGTATAAACAAGAGACATGTGGAAAAAATATTACACTTTTGTGGTGCAGTATTTCTTCATTTACATTCGCAACCGCATCCCGCCATTCCTGCCCTGCCTCTCCCAGCTATGCATTAATCACATTGAATCACATGCTGCATGTCCCTCATAATCCCGCATTCATACTCTAACTAGTCGCGTGCATAAATGACGCATTTCGATGCGCAATTAACACTAAAATGAACTGTGATGATCAATTTGCAATAATTTAACATGCCATTTGTATCTCGTTCATTTCTTGGAGGTACGACGTCTCGAAATGTCAAAACTTACACGGAGAAAAAAAATTATTCATTTCACTAAATTAATTTAGTCCATCTTTATTTCTTTCAATGAAGAATGTATGTATTTGAATCAAACATTATATTTGACTTTAACTAAATTAATTTAGTTAAATGAACAATTTTTTTCTCAGTACACCGTCACAGAAAAATTTGGTATAATAACTTCTCTAAAATATTGTAATATTGCAATATAATATTGCATACCAAAATAGATAAAACTTATTGAGATAATGAAAAGTCTAATTTTTACGGAATGATTTTTAATTCATGTAACATAAATAATTAATAATTCTTAAGTAACGTAAATATGTAATTTTTAAGTAACTATCGAAACACTGAAAATTCTTGCTAATGCGGAAAAATCTTTAACTTTACATGCAGTGTGCTTCGATTTCAATTTATTTGCATTTGTAAAATCTTCAATGTTCCTCTTCACGTTTCCAGTACTTTGAATAATAATTTAATGACAAAGGCAGAAGTAGAATGCAGAATGACATAGAGAATGACGTTCGTGGTTCTAGTTTGCAAAAGTTGTGTGCATACAAATCACAATTATAATTTACTATTAATCGTATCAATGAGCAGTACAATATAATATCTTTCATATATTTAACCTTTATATATATTCTTTCACTCATAAACCGTAAATTTAATGCTTCAGTTGGCGAACGAAAGATATATCTTAAAATAGAATATCAATTTGTTTCTTCTGAAGTTGACTGCGAATAGAATCAATGAATTTCTTTTCAGTATTAAATCCCGATATTCGGTATCAAACCTTCGTCAAAAAAATCGTCGTTAATTAAAAATAGATCTTATTATTAATTCAAGTCGACTATTATTAAAAAATTACACATTGTTAGTTTGCATTAGATAAGAAAATTCTTCAACGTTCAAGTTGCTCATTTTAATCAAATAATTTATAAATAATTTCAGATACGGACGACCATACAGATATGGTGGCTGGGGATATGGCAGAGGTTGGGGGGGTTGGGGAGGATATGGAGGATGGGGCGGCTGGAGAGGAGGATACGGAGGATGGGGCGGCCGAGGATGGGGTGGACGAGGATATGGTGGTTGGGGTGGCTGGGGATACTGGGGTTGACGTGAGCCTCACATTCCATCCGCGTGATACTTAATCGCTATCAACAAAGCCTTTGGCTCTATGAATTTTTTCTAATCTTAAGATACGCGAAGCTCTTGAACAGCTTTATTAACTATGTAAGTTTTTATTGAAATCTCCATTGTACAAGAATAAAGATATGTGAAAAAAGAACGAGAAGAATGCTTTGTTTCTTGCCGTTATCGATCATGTTCCCACATCAAGAATTGTTTCAAGAGATTGATGTCAATGTACTGTAATGTTCGCCATGATTTTATAATACATTGTGAAGATTAAATTACATAATCACAAAAACTAAAATTTCTTTCTAGAAAAAACTTACAGATGAACGTAGCGTATTTTTACATAAAAGTCAATGATCAGGTGTAATAGAGAATTAAATGCTCTTTATAAAAATTTGAGAACTTCTATTTCAAGAAATGATATTAATACATAATATACATCATAATTTTACATTGCAAAGATTAAACTACACAATCGTAAATTGAAAATTAAAAAGAATTGTTAAATGAACATAGTATATTTTACATAAAAGTCGATTATCAGACATAAAAGAAAATTAAATACTCTTAAAAAATTTAAAATTATTATTGTTTAAAAATTTAAAAAAGGACTTTTGAATTTAACGTATATAATAAAGATAGGATTAATTCGTGGATAAAAATAACATTGGGGGTGTAGGTTGAATAAGGAAACGCAGGATGTAAAAAACTGTAATTATTATTAATCGTAATAATATGATTATTGACAATGACGCGACTATGTGCACATTAAAACACCTTATCTGTATCTTACAAGATCAGCTTTCTTACACTATATACAATAACTAAATATCATATTACTTTATATTATATAATAAAATTTTCTATTTATATTTTTGTATATATATATATATATGTTCATATTTATATATATATATATTTATATATATATATACCCGCGTATTTATATATATATAATATTAAATTAATCGTTATTTATTATTAGAGTAATTGTTATTTCAATATATATATATGCATGTAAGAAACGATTAAAAATTAACCAAATATTTATTCTTTATAATTCTGTACAATATAGGCTCTTAAAACTCTGCTTATCACTGAAAAAATGTACAATGCGATATATACGGTATGAAGGTATGTCTGGAAAAATCCTCTCGTTCGCGAAACGTTTAAACCGATACGGTGCGCGTGTCGGCTCGTTGATCGATAATTCGTTCGCGGTCGATCGATGATCGTGCGCGACACGCGCCGGAGGAACCGCAGAGAAGGATTCGTTTTCGCGATCGATGAGAATTTCAGGGCGGCGGCGAGCGCGCAAAGGTCGCCGACGCGCTAAACAATACTTCATTTCATTTGATTTTTTTTGCGCTGTATAACAAGAAAATAAAGAGTTATGACAATAAAGAATTGGGACGAAACGGTATCGCCAAACTCACTCATTCTTTCTCTCTCTCTCTCTCTCTCTCTCTCTCTCTCTCTCTCTCTCTCTCTCTCTCACGCACGCACGCACACACTCTCTCTCTTTCTCTCTCTCTCTCTCTCTCTCACTCACTCACTCACTCATTCATTCCACACATACACACACACTCGCTCACACACTCACTCACTCACTCACTCTTACATGTATGCAACTTACTCACCCTCATTCATTTTCTCTGTCTTTCACTCTTTTACCTTTTTCATGGGCTCGCAAGATCGCGACAAAAAACTATTTTACCCTTTTAGCTCAATGCAAGTCACGTAAGTTATACAATGTACATGGAAGATACGTCCGATTACAAGAATGGTTTATTTCCCAATAAACATCAACTCAAAAGTAACATAACATCAATATTATAATTTCTCACTCAACAATGTAACTGTTATATACATAATAATATACAACATGTGTTATATCATAATATTGAGTATAAAATTATATAACATTGATGTTATGTTACTTTTAACCAATGCTTACTGAATTGCCGGCTTCTTAAAATCGACTGATTTTCTTTTGATACATCCGCATAATCTTTACTCGAGTACACTCTAAAAATATGGACGTAGAGATTTAACATGGATGTTTTAAATATAATTCTCTCTTACCGTGTTGTGATATAAACACTATGATGTTGAGATATAACACCAAAATAATGTAGATTTAATGTGTTCTAAGCCACGCAATGTTAAATCAATATCTTTGATGTTAACGTCACATTTATATTTTTTAGAATGTGATGAAAAAGATTGAGAGAATTGCCGGCAGTCGAGATGAAAAGATCTGATAGATGTCGCGAAATAACTTTATTTTTTTATAAAGTGACTTTTCTGTTGTGCTTTTCTTTATTTTCATCTTCGGACAGCCTCCGAAAGTTCGTCGATCAATAAGCCGCGCTACAATGTTTTTCCTTTAAAAATAATTAACGATTCTTGTTGAAAGAGATATCAAAAGTCTTTTGGCGCGATCATGCATTTATCTTTTTTATCTTTTTTTGTTGCTTTTTTTTTTTAGTACGCTCGCATCCAAGAAAGAGAGCAAAACTAAGAACCATCTGGAAGATAAGATCCGTACGGTAACACAGCCGTTATATAAGCTTCATACCAATTACAGATTCCTGTGTCTTATCTGATATATGAGTATGTACAATTTCTTCTTATCCTGCGCGTCGCGTTACAATTGTGGAGTGAAAAGTCGAGTGGAGAATCGTTCTCGGAATGGAATAACATTGAACTCGCCTGGGAAATTTCATTATCCGCAGATATTCCCGTCCTGCTCTTACGCTGAATTTTTATCCAAATACATCTGCATCCTCCCTCATTTTTGTTCCATCTTTATCGAAACGTGAAAACATTTTTCTCGTTTATTTAAAAATTCGCTACCTACCGCGGGGCTTTCCCCACGATTTCTTTTTCACTCCACAATCGATAATGTGCGGTGTCTGGGACGAAGAATCTTCCTACGGACGTCGTAACAATTGCACGTTTAGCAAAGGATCAGCAATCGGTAAGATTTCCCATCGGCGTGCACGAATGGTGAAAATGTAAACAATCTCCGTTTCGCTTATTGCGCGTTCTACTAACATATCCCCGATTGCACGCAATCGACTCTTAGTCGCCGCTAATGTTCCTCGTCACGTCTCACACCCTAATTGCTTGTCATTCCAATTCCTTTCTTTGATATTCTTCACACCAGTAACTTGAGATACGATAACAAAAAGACACGAAAAATAAATAAATATAACAAAAAAATGGCTAAAAGAAATAATTTTGTTTTAGAGACACAGCATTTCTACGACGTCTTTTGCATATACACCCTTTTCATTAAAATGTAAGACTCGATATGTTACTACTCTTCAGATTTTACAGCCGAGTAAAAAATTATTTGAAAAAAAAGAAACGCGCATAAAAACGATGATTTTTCATACCTCAAACAATGTTTTGTATCCTTAAACATATTTTATAATCTATTGTTTAGACACATATTTGTAGTTTAACATAGTATTTTTTTTTTAGAATTAACAGAGTTATTCAGTGTTGCTGGTATTAAAATGCAGCGACAAGTAGAAAAAGGATTCACCACGGACAATCCTTGCAGGAATCTTCTTTCCCGAAGAGTGAAGATGATGGTGATGATGACGAGATGCGTCGCTCTTCGGTCTCGTACGAAACAAATCTAACGGAATATCTTCATCTTATGTATATCTCGTGATTCATCGAATCGTACGCACGTGACGCGTTTGTTCGGGAAAAAAAAACAATTTTTTCTCTCTTCACAATTCTTTTGCAATTCGGTCGTAATCCTTTCTCCTTCATTTTTAAATATCGGTACAAAACATGGCACGCCGCTTCATCAACCATGAGTATTTTATACGCATAACTCTTGTTATCTACGTGGCGAGATTAAGACGATATATTTCTTAATACAAAAGGAGAAGAAACATATAATAACAATAATAATAGTGTGTAGTATAGTAATTAGGATGATATTAAGAAAGAAAAGCACAGAGAGAGAGAGAGAGAGAGAGAGAGAGAGAGATATGGAAAAAGAAAGAGGAAGAGACAGTTGAAAAGAGAGAGAGAAAAAAAAGAGGAAGAGACAAATGTAAAAAGACAAAGACAGACGGAAAAAAGAGAGAAAAGAAAGGCAGAGAAAGAAAAAGATAGAGAAGAAGAGATAGATAGAAAAGAGAGAAAGAGAGAGATAAAAAAACGTCTAAAAACTGTTCTTAGGGAGTTTTCGAAAGAAAATACAGGTGAATAAATAGCGCCTTACATTGATCGTCATAAATAAATACACGCAGCAGGGCTACAACGTGAAAAGGGATAAAATAGATAATCGTGACGATTAATAATGACGCGTAGGATCTTATAAAAAAAAACTATGTAACAAATCGCGCGAGGCGCGTACGTAATATATATGTATATATATAATATATATTTAACGTGTAAAAAAATATAATAAAAAAATATCTTCAAATTTCGCGTCTAACTTCGCGATCTTGTATGTGCGGATTGCACAGCGTGAAGCGAAAACAAAATCACAGAAAGGAAGAAAAACAAAATATAGAAGAATAGGAGATTAGAGCAAAACGATACCATCATAGCATATTGCAGAGTTTAATTGTCAAACGCGAGAGAGGATGCATGCAAGTTCCAATTGTCAAATTGCGAAAGAATACGTCCTTTTTTTTTCCTCTGTTCCTCCTTTCCTTTTTAAGCACACGAACGGATATGCTTGTATGTTAAAAAAAAGAACGAAAAGATTTGTTCTGAAAATAAAAGAAAAAAGAATATCCCTTTTCTCATTTGATGCTTCACGTCCGGCTGGTACACGCTCTCTCCTCTTACCACATTAAAGTCGACATCGATCGTATATCGCTCGAAATATTGTATATAGTATTGTGGTTTATTAAAATTCGTTAATAACTAGCATTTAAAAACCACGACCTAAGTGGTGATTTGAGAAATATGCTTCTTGTACAAGGTAATTTTACGTCGCTGCCGCGGATACCCCATTAAGGTGTCGATCGTTGCGCACGAACATGAGCCTCGTTTCTCGTTAGGACATGGTGCGCTAATACAACGCACCGGTTTATGTCCTTCAAAAGTTCACACCTGATCATCATATTGCTTTGAGGTCACATCGACGAGCGTAAGAGAAATCTTTGA